AGTGTTAGAATTCGCCCCTTCCTTCCCCAGAGTCTCCCGACCGCAGTCCCGAGGGTTTTTGAAACCAGTGTTCACTTCCAAAGGATGGCAAGAGACGGTCGTTTCACTCCTACCCCACCTCCATTTCAGAACGCTCCTCCAGACGTGTACGTCTTCCAGGGCAGTAGATTTCCTAATTTTGCACTGGTTGACCGACCCCCCCCCCCGAATCCCGAGCCGAAGCGCAAGGGAAGAGGTAAGGGCAAGCGAAGCCAGCCAGCCAACATGCAACAGCAGCAGAGCGAGAGGTGTCCGTGAATGCGGGTGCTACCCTGCCCGCAGGCCCTTGCGCGGGGGAGGTCGGTGCAGGATGGGCCTGAGCGTCAACTGACGTTTGCTCTACCAGTTTAGAAAGCGAGCACAGCTAGGTCGCGCTAGATCTCACACAGCAGCTCAGTGCTAGCAAGAGAGCGTCAGTCACCACGACATCGGCCCGACAGCTCGATCGACCGATCCTCCTCCTCCTCCTCCTCCTCCTCCTCCTCCTCCTCCTCCTCCTCCTCCTCCTCCTCCTCCTCCTCCTCCTCTCCTCCCTCCTCCTCCTCCTCCTCCTCCTCCTCCTCCTCCCCTCCTCCTCCTCCTCCTCCTCCTCCTCCTCCCTCCTCCTCCTCTCCTCCTCCTCCTCCTCCTCCTCCTCCTCCTCATCCTCTTTCTCTCTCTTCCTCCCCCTCCTCCTCCTCCTCACCTCCTCCTCCTCCTCCTCCTCCTCCTCCTCCTCCTCCTCCTCCTCCTCCTCCTCCTCCTCCTCCTCCTCCTTCTCCTCCCCCTCCTCTCCTCCGCCTCACCCTCCTCCTTCCCTCTCTTCTCTCCTCCTCCTCACCCTCCTCCTCCTCTTCGTCCTCCTCTTCGTCGTCTTCATGTCCTTCCTCCTCGTCGTTCTCCTCGTCCTTTTCCTCCTCCTCCTTTGATCCTTCCTCCTTATGTCTTTATTCATCCTCTTCCTCCTCATCCTGCTAATCATCATAAGCATCATCATCCCCTTCCTCCTCCTCCTCCTCCTCCTCCTCCTCCTCCTCCTCTTCTTCCTCATCATCATCCTCATCATCATCATCATCCTCATCATCATCACCCTTCCTCGTAGCCAGCGTGGCTCAAGTTTGATCATTGCGCCTTGGTGGCTAGAATTTGGTCGCAGCAGAGTGGCTGGCTCAGGCCCCCTCTGAGGCCCCTCTGCCCCGCGCGAGGACCGGCTGTGCTCCTTCCGAGCCCTGCTATCCGTGAGTTCGTGCTGGAGCACTTCCTATATATATATATATATATATATTATATATATATATATATAATATATATATACATATATACATATATATAATATATATATATATATATATATATATATATATATATATCGGAGTAGGGCCCGGGGGCGGCCCGGGGCGCTGCCAGTAATCTCCATGGGGGGTGCAGGGCGCCCCCGGGAGCGTCCGAAGCGTCCCGGAGGGCCCCTGGGACCGCCAGGAACAGTTCGAGACCGCCCAAGACGGCCCGCGAGCGCTCCAAGACGCGCATAGATAGCCTCAGGAATGGCCAGGAAGGCCCGAAGACGTTCCAAGAGAGCTCCATGAGGCCCCGAAGGCATCCCAAGAGGCCTCCCAAGAGAGCCCCGACAAGCCAAAATCGTTGATTTTTATTGTTTTTTTAGGTTTTTGGCCTTCTCGCTTTTTCGGGGTTCCGACGCTCCAAGACCGTCCAAGAGTTTCCCAAGACCGCTCCAAGACGGCCGAAGAGGCCCCAAGACTGCCCCAAGACGGCCCAAGAGACCCCCAAAATCGTCCCAAGACGGCCCAGGAGAGCCCCAAAATGGCCCAGGAGCCGCCCAAGACGGTTCCAGGAGAGCCCCGACAGGGCTTCAAGATTGCCTAAGCGAGCCCAGCAGTCCCCAAGAGGGCCCCGCGAGGCCCCAAGAGGCCCCAAAGAGGCCCCCAAGAGCCTCCCCGGAGGCCCCCAGAGGCCCCCAAGATGCCCAAAAATGGCCCTGAGCGCGCCCCAAGACGCCTCCAGGAGAGCCCAACAGGCCTCCGAGAGGCCCCCAAGAGGCCCACTGGAGGCCCTCAGGAGGTCGTCCCCATCATGTTCCCGGAAGGCGGTCCGGGAACATGATTCCGCGCCTTGGAGGAGTATTCTGCGCCTTCCGAGGCGCCTTGGACGACGTACGTATGTTTCTATCGATTGTCCTTCTCCTGTGTGCACAATCCCACATGTGTTACGTGTGTGTATATATATGTATATGTATATGTATATGTATATGTATATGTATATGTATATGTATATGTATATGTATATTTATACGTATATGTATAGGTATATGTATAGGTATATGTATATGTATGTGAATATGTATATGAATATGTATGTATATGTATTTGTATATGTATATGTATATGTAGATGTATATGTATATGTAAATGTATTTGTATATGTATATGTATGTGTATATGTATATGCATATGCATATGTATATGTATATGTATATGTATATACGTACATGTATATGTATATGTATATGTATATGTATATGTATATGTATATGTATATGTATGTATATATGTATATGCATATGCATATGTATATGTATATGTATATGTATATGTAAATGTAATTGTATATGTATATGTATAGGTATATGTACACGTATATGTACATGTATATGTATATGTATGTGTATATGTATATGTTTATGTAGATGTATATGTATATGTATATGTATATATGTATATATGTACATATGTACATATGTATATGTGTATATATGTATATGTGTATACATGTATGTGTGTGTATATATATGTATAAATGGGGAGGGGGTCCTGGACCAGGGGGGACCTTCACTTTGCCCAGTGGCTGTGGTCACCCCCCCGCCGGAGACGCCATGACGCTCCCAGGACCCTCTAAAATGGCTCCAGGACGCCCTCAGGACAGCCCAAGAGAGGTCCGAAGCGGCCCGGGAGCACTCCAAGACGGTTAAAAAGCTGCCAAAGCGTCCCAGCAGGTCTCCGACAGCACTCTCGGGAGGGGCCCAATAGGAAATTGTCACTGATTTTTAGTGGGTTTTGAAGGGTTTTGGCGTTCTCCCCAGTTCGGCTTCCAGACGCTCCAAGGCGGCCCAAGAGGCCCGAAAGATCGCCTCAAGACGAGCCCAGAGGCCCCCAAGAGACCACCGAGACAGCCCAAGAGGGCCCCAAGACGGCCCAGGAAGCTTCCAAGACGGCCCAAAAGAGCTCCCAGAACACTCCAAGAGGAGCCCCAGATGGGGAACACGAACTGACATTTCGAGCCCTCGCCCACCAGAAGCTCCCAAGAGGCCCCCAGGAGTCCGCAAGAGGCCTCGAGAGGCCCCCAGGAAGCTCCAAGAGGCCTCCAAAAGGCGCCGAATGGGCCCCGCAAGGCTTCCAGACGCTGGTGATAATGACAATGATGACCATGCAGGGCGGCCTCAGGCCCACAACGTAAATCCCCAAGACTGCTCACGCGGCATTGAAGACGCTGCGGAGATATCCTCGAGTTCGGCGGGGGAGCTTCGGAGACGACGGTGACGAAAATGATGACGATGATGACGACTATTATGAAGTTGACGACGACGACGATGATGATGATGATGATGATGATGATGATGATGATGATGATGATGATGATGATGATGATGATGATGATGATGATGATGGTGATGATGATGATGATGCTGATGATGATGATGAGGAGGAAGAAGATTATGATGATGATGTTGACAGTGGGAATGATGATGATGATGATGTTGATGATGGTGATCGTGATGTGAGTGATGGTGATGATGATGATGGTGGTGATGCTGACGATCATGATGACGATGACGGTGATGTCGTTGAGGGTGGTGATGCTGACGATCATTCTGATGATGCTGCTGATGGTCAGGATGATAACGCCGATGCTGATAATAATGGTGGCGATGCTGTTTATGGTGCTTGTGATGCAGGAGTGGGCGGATGATGAAGATGATGACGATGATGATGACGGTAACGATGACGACGATCACGACGACGACGACGACGAGAATGATGACGATGGCGATGATGAGGATGATTATGTTGATAATTCAGGTGACGATATTGACGATGATGACGACGATGGCGATGATGACGATGGTGATGACGATGTTTCTGCTGATGGTGGTAATGGTGACGATTGTGATGATGGTGATGGTCATGGTGATGATGACGATGCCGCTGACGATGACGCCGGATATGATGGTGATGAGGATGGCGATGATGACGATGACGATCATCGTAGCTAGAACTTGAGCGCGCGCGAAGCGCGCGATGGTTCTAGTACACATATATGTGTATATATATATATATATATGTATGTGTATATATATATGTGTATAGCGGATGGGTTGGCCATATGCGCCATGGAAGAAGAAGAAGCAGCAGCCGCAAAAGCAGATTGTTACTCAGCGTTTGATCGAAGTGCCGTCATTGGGAGTATGATCACCGTGGGCACGAGGTGTGCTCGAAGTGCCAAAGCCCGTGCATCCGACCACTTGCTGCTCGTGGGCGTGGCGATGGCGGTATGCGCGGAAGTGTCAAGAAAGGTGGCCCTTGCACTGGGGGAAGAGTTGGAACGACGTGCTGAGATGTTCCCGATCGCGCTGATGCCCTTCGTGGTGGTCGAGGTGCTGTGCCGCCCCGTCCTCGGGATGTCCCTCTTCATTCCAGTGATAATGATCTCGAGGAGAAGGTGGCCAAACAACGTGCTACGTTGGCTCTTGGTGTGGAACGTGCTTCCAAGGCAAAACGCTTGTCTCTCGATGATGTTGAACGGAAGTCGGCAGCTGTGGTGCGTCACAAAGAGGCCTTCCTGAAGGTAGGGGGTGCACATGCAGAAGCTGTGCGTGCTCTGGAGCAGGCGGCCGCGGCACATCACGCTGCGTATTGACGAGATGGATAAAGTTCGGCCCCGCTGTTGTTCGTCAAACCACTTTGGAGGATGAGCGTGCTGAACGAGGGCAGCGAGACATATAATTTCATGCCGCAGTTGCTGAGGGACGCGAGGGAGCCTGGCCCGACGGCGCGGAACCAGTGCGTCCCCAAGCAGCTCCTGAAGGTGGCGTACCAGCTCCTCATCAGGTACCTCGTGATCGGCCTGTCGATATGCAGGTGGATGGCCAAGGCCCGCAACATCCTGTGATTCCTGGCCCTCCCCCTCCAGGTGCTGCGGGGCAACCATTGCCTGACCCTCCACCTGATCTCCACCAGATAGATGAAGGCCGACTGCTTTCTTGGCGTACCGATCAGGGGCAGGCGTTTTACAGTTGGCAACAGATCAAAGCATTCAGGGCGAAACTTGAAGATGATGTACCTGATAGTAGCAGTGAGCTTGGCAACGAACGAGACCAACAGTGCTGAGTTGGAGGCATTGCGTAGATGAGGTATTGCGGTCGCGTTGCAGCCTGACGAACTCGCAAGGATGCAGCGCCTCATGCAGCATCAGTCTCATTCCAAAGTGTCCAAGAGGCCCCCCACCATGCGCGAAGGTGTAGCAGTTTCGTTCGATTGAGTCTTGCAGCAGATGCTACCCGCTTGGCTTCAACAAGGAGCTGATGTCGCAGGAGGGGCGGGCCCAACTGCGGCGGCCGGGCCAGCCCGAGTACCAGTTGCAGGAGCTGGATAGGTTGGTCCTCTCTTTAGCATCGGCATCGGCACCGCTAAGTCTGATGCGGCGCGCAAGTCTTCCAACCACCTTGAGTTCCTCTTCTGCAGCATCACCTCGTGGAGCCAGGTGGCGTTGGGTTTCGCGCAGCAAGTGAGGCCCCTGTGCGACGGATTCTTTGCAGCTGAACATCATTCGAGCGCTCGCCTGCCCCGTGCCAAGAGACAGACCTAGCAGATTGACCGGGGGCCTCATCTGTCGCCCGCGCTCACCTCGCCGTGGGTGGGGGGGCACGCATGGGGGAGTAGGAGCTGCGCTATCAAAGGTCTTGGCGTTCTGCGTTTGTCTGGCGCGTGATGCTTCGCTCCACGGGTTCGGGGGCGGCCTGGATCGGTTGTTTTTGGAGTTGACAACTAAGCAGCGCGTGATTGTTGCATGCGCGATCATCTGGCGTCTGGCAAGGGTTTCTCGGGCGCCAACTTTCGGGCGCGTGCTGTCGATGAGTCCCCGGGGGGCCCCAGCTACTCCATGGGCTTTCGTTCGCGTCGGCGATGTACTTGTGCGCGAGGGAGGGAGACGCTGATCGATTATCTGATAACGCCCAATGACCCGGCGAATCTCGCGTAGGCGACCCCCTTTAACCCAGGCCCTTTCGAGGCCCACGCGCGCTTGCAGATTGCCATCGCGCGCGGAGCTTCGGAGCAGACCGCGCGGCGAAGATGTCGACCCGCCCCCCTGCCCGAGCGTCGCGGACCTGATTTGCCGCGGCTGCAGGCGCGCGCGCTGACGCCATCTTTTCTCTCCGAGGCGCCGGCGCCCCATGCCCGTGCTCATAGTTCGCATGATGTGACTGAACAATACCTCCCGTGGCCAAGAGCGACCGAGGCCATTTGCGAGTCCCGCGCGGTTGCCTGCGATCTTCGGGGGGTGAGTCTCGTCTGCCCCTGCCTGGCCACGTGCACCTGGGGGCTGCGGCCCTACCCCCTAAAAACATTAAGCGTGATCGGCCGTCTGCGCATGCCCGACCTTGTGCAAGGCCGATTGCAAAACCAGGAAGTGCAATTCAGATCGATGGGCCTCCGGTAGGTACAATGCATGGGGCACCGTTGCATGCAGGCCCAGCGCATTGCAGGCGGCTCTACGTCGCGAACTCGGGCACGAGGTTGCTCGCGAGCTTGGTCTCTGCTCCGTGGGCGCGCACTGGGCCCTCGAGTGATTGTTTGAGAGTGCGCAGCCTGCTAGGCTAATTTCGATGGCCTTTTAGACGGAATGCCCCTTGCACCTCCTGCATTTTCTGGCATCCCGATCCATGGGGCACCTCGCATTTTGGATGGTGAAGGATTTGCTGCTGATTCCGTGGAGCCAGTTCGTAGTAGACTGGCGAGGTGCATGAAGTCTGTGTCATGGATGAATATGTTATATGATATATGTATATATATATATGCATATGTCCAAATACACATATACATATACATAGACACATACATACATATATATGTATACATACATACCGATGTGTATGTGTATATATAAACATATACGCACGGGGCTCGCATCTCGAATGCTCCTGTTGTGAAACGTGCGCACGTGGATTATCTGACCCAATCAGAGCGCGGCATTAAAGATGACACGTCGAAGGCTCTCGCGCGCGCCGCCGTGCGTTTAGCTCACCAGTTGGAAGGGGTTGGGTGCGCTATCTCCTCCAAGCCTGCTTTGGCCTGTAGAATCAGCGTAATTTAGGGCAGGACCTGGCCGTCCGTTTTCGTGCCACTGGGCCCCCCATCAAGCTCTCGCAGGCCACCCGCGATCTGGAAGCCATGGCCACGGCGGGAAGGTGGCGCCGCGCTGGCAAGCTCCAGCAAAGAAGGAGCCAGGCCTCCAAGAAGGCCCGAAAGGTGCTCGCGGGTAGGGCGAGGAAGCTGTACAAACCTGGGGCCCTGGCCGTCGGTTCTCGGAGCCGCCAGGTCCTCGGGCTTACCGCGGGGCAGATGCGGTCCATGAGGGCCCAAGCTGCCTCGTGTTCGGGCTGGTGGAGCCCTGGGGCCTGCGCCGCCACGTTCTTGGGCTGGTTGGTGCTGCCAAGGATGGCCCCAGTTCAGGCTTCGGTTTGCACAGTCGATGGCATTCCACGATGTTTGGACCGACTTGGACCACAAGAAACGCATGCAAATCGCCGATGTCTGGAATGCGATTCACGATGAGTTTCGGCGGGCCAAACATCGTCGGCCGCATGTCCGAGGACCTCTAGCTGCTACCGTGGCCGCGCTGCGCGACATCGGCGTGGCGCCGCGCGGCCCGGTCTTCTGGCTGTTCCCGAATGGCGCCCGGCCCATTTTCAGCGCCGTCGCTTTTCCTCGCGCACTGCGGCTTGAACTCCAAGCCGTCTGCGGCGACCTCTCGCGGAGCGGGGCATCTAGACATTGTGGAGGGGCCATGCTTGGATGGGGGGAGTTGATTTCATTGGTCCTCGAAAGTTGCGGTGGCGTTTGGACGGCGACGGGGCCCCCGAGGCCGCCGGCGCGTCGGGGAGACCATGGCCGCGAGGTTTTGGCACGAAGAAATGCATGTGAAGGCTGGCTATGTCATTACCACTCATGGGCTATGCCCTCGGTGTGGCCTGTCTCCTGAGAGCGCGGTCCACAGGTCGTGGCAACGCAGGTGCAATGACCGCCTGATGGACGGAGCGATCGCCCGATCTGGCGAGGTGAAAGCCGAGGCTTTCAATTTCCTTGCTTCTTCCAGCTTCTGGTGCCGCGGTCTCCCTCCTATGTGCGAGTTGTGGCCGCCTTCCTTAACCACGGCGCTTGCGTTGGGGATGGGGGAGATTCGCCGGTGGGAATCAGATCGACGGGGGAGTCCGGGGAATCGACGGATCGGGCGGGGCCAGGAACAAGGATTGGTGTGCGAGGCGATGCGGATGGGCAATTGTCAACCAAGGCCCAGCTGGCACGCTGGATGCAGTTGCTTTTGGCACGTTGCCCACTAAGGCGCAGACTGCAGGTCGCGCCGAACATTTTCGCCCTCATGCAGCTGGCTAAGAGATCTGTTGGCAACGTCAGAGTGTTGTTGTGATGATATAGCTGCGGTACGAGGGTCACGAAGACTGTTGCGTGCCAAGGCTACATTTTCCATGCTTGACTTGCGGGCTGAATATCATAAGGTCCTCAGGACCCGGGGTGGCACGATTGGCGCTCGATGGGCCAAGGGGCATTCCACCCAGGCTGAGACGTCCAGTATGTGCATCAGCGAAGTAGAGTTTTATCTGAACAAGTCAGGTTTTTCGCTTAGGCTGGCCAAATGACGGAAGAGCTGGCGGCCTTGACCTTGTTCGCCGATGAGCGGGCTTCCAGGGTCTCAGGCCGCCTCCTCTCCATCCAACGTCAAGTTCTGTTTCCTCGGATTGGGACCAATATGATCGGGATGTGCCCCGCGTCCGGACGGGTGCCAGGTCCGCGGAGGAGAGGCCCTGTCGGATCCGAGACGGGGTCATTATTGTAGGATTCGCATCTCGGCGTTCAAGTGCGAGCTGTGCTACAGGAGCCTCAGTCGCAGAGGCCAATTGTCCAAATTCTGGCCATCCGTTTGCAAGCCCGGCGCTGGGATCGATCAGCAATTTCAGGCTTTCCCTCCTCGGGTTGCACCTGCTTGCACATGCCTAGAGCCTTCTCCTCAGCCTCCTGATTTCCTTGATCCTGGGGAGGAAAGAGTGGGTGGGGGGACGGATCATCATGTAGCTGAGCTGTGCCAGGTTCCGCACCACTTAGCTACCTTCAGGGGTGTTTGTTTTATGGAACTTGTGGATGTCATTGCGTGGAGAACACACGGTCTTTGTGGACCGAATGCCAGGCACCCAGGCGTGCTGGCAAAGATGCGCTCAGCCGATTGAGGCGCGGGCTCCCGCTCAAATCTGGCGGGAAGTTCCCTGACCTATAGGTTGGTGTATCGCGCCCCGCCTTGCAGCTGGTAGCCACGCGCGGGTAGCCACGAACGGGATATAATATAATATGATGAAATAGAATACAATCCTCCTCCTCCTCCTTCTCCTCCTCTTCCTCCTCCTCCTCCTTCTCCTCCTCCTCATCCTCCTTCTCCCCTTCCTCATCCTCATCCTCATCATCCTCCTCCTTCTCCTCCTCCTCCTCCTCCTCCTCCTCCTCCTCCTCCTCCTCGCCCACCTCCTTCTCCTCCCTCCTCCTCCTCCTCCTCCTCCTCCTCTCCTCCTCCCCTCCTCCTCCTCTCCTCCTCCTCCTCCTCCTCTCCTCCTCCTCTTCCCCCTCCTCCTCCTCCTCTTCCCACTCCTCTCCTCCTCCTCCCTCCTCCTCCTATTCCCGCCTCCCTCCTCCTCCTCCCTCCTCCTCTCCTCCTCCTCCTCCCTCCTCCTCCTCCTCCTCTTCTCCTCCTCCTCCTCCTCCTCCTCCTCCTATCCTCCTCCTCCTCCTCCTCCTCTTCTTCTTCCTCCTCCTCCTCCTCCTCCTCCTCTCCTCTTCCTCCTCCTCCTCCTCCTCCTCCTCTCCTCCTCC